CAATTACCTTGAAAGAAGTATAATCCTTCTTTGGTTTTTGCAATTTCTATTGATGATTTATATTTAGCTATAATGTTATTGCCTCTACTCTAATAAACCTCACTCGAGCCAATATCCCCTTTTCTTTTATAAAGGAATATATAAATTCTTTCGATACTTTATAAAAGCAATTTACTTCTACTCCCTTGTTACAGTATTATAATTATAATTTGGAAAGTATACTTGAAACAGATATATCTGATGATATCATTGCCACTATATTGTCACAAAAGTATAAAGAACAATAGTTATTTATAATATACTTTTTGAAGATTATACTTTCTATTGAACTCAATTACCCTATCTATGATAAAGAACTGATTGCTATAATCAAGGCCTTTAATTATTGGAAATCCGAACTAATAGGATCACACTTTAATATAAAGGTATTTACTGATTACAAAGCATTAGAGTACTTTATGACCTCTAAATAGCTTAATAATAAACAAGCCTATATTGCCGAACTTCTCATTGATTTCAATTTCTTTATTATATATTGTTCTAGCAAAGAGAACCCTTTAGCTAATGCTCTTTTTCGCAAAGACAATGATATAGAAGTCACAAATAAACAAAAGAAAGAATAATATATATTACTATTATTTATATAAGATCAGTTTAACCCCTATATCCAAACACTTCTAGAATCCCTTAATATTGTTATTCTTGAATATATCAAATTATTTATTAAGACAATAGATTGTATACTATACCTCAATAAAATCTCCAAAACTCTTTATGTTTTATATAAAGAGGTGTTTTATATAAAGAGGTTTTGAAGGCTTTTTTAGATAAAAACAAGAAATCCTATATATTATAATAAATAACCTTTTACTCTATAATGAGAAATTAATGATTTTAAATATAGAAAACCTTTGTATATTCCTTATCAGAGATATATATATACAACCCCTCTTTGTATATCCAAATACTACAAAAACTTCGAAAATGTTTTCAAATCATTATTATTGGAAAGGATTAAAAGATAATATTACCTGCTACATTTGCAATTGTAAGATATATCATTATTCCAAAATCCTTTGTAACAAGAAACCAGGATTTTTGAAACTTTTCAATATACCACAACACCCCTGGCAACATATTACTATAAACTTCTGTAACTTTAATAAAAATAAATATAGATATAACAATATCTTAGTCATTATTAACAGACTCACCAAACAAACCATTTCTATTCCCTGTATTAAGGAATATAGTGAAAAAGAGTTTGCTAAATTATTTATATATCATATTTATTGCTATTATAATCCTTCTATCTCTATATTCTCAGATCGAGGCATACAATTTATCAATAGGTTCTGGAAAGAGCTCTCGATCATACTTGGTATCACCCTGGTGTATTCCTTTATAAACCATCTTCAAACTGATGATCAAATGGAGATATACAATCAATATCTATAGCAATGCTTACACCCCTATATTAGCTATTATCAAGATAATTGGTTATATTTTCTATCATTTATGGATTATATACAATTGATATTGCTCCACAATTCTTTAAGTTAAATGATTCCTTTCGAAGTCCTTTATAGATACCCTTCTCGTATCGAATGGGATTGGAAAGAATACAATTCTGATCCCTTTGATAAAATCAATATTCAGGAAATCTGTGAATTCGTTATTCGTATACATAGTGCATAGGAATTTGCCTGCAATCAAATCCAATATACTCAAGATTGAATAGTTCAACAATACAACAAACATTGTTGTAAATCTGATTTTAAAGTAGGTGATATAGTGTAGTTGAATTCTCGATATTACAAAACTTAGTATTTCTTTTGCAAGCTCGATTTTCCTATTATTGGCAAATATAAGATTGTAGAAAAAATTGAATAGTTGTACCGATTTACACTCCTAACAATAATATATATATTCGATATATTTTCTCCCGAAAAACTCTGTTTTGTGTTGGAAGACCCACTCCCAGGACAAATTAATCTTTTGTTATAGCCCGTGAATATTATTAACAAAGAAGAACAGAAAGTAAAAAAAGTATTAGTTTCAAAATTGTAATATAAAAACGGTTTTTACCAGGTTTTTTGATTAGATCACCTTTTGGATATTATATAGTATAAAACAGATAATTTTAAATATTCTCTTTACAAACTTCAAGTTTATTATTTTAGTTATCCTAGTCAAATAGGACTATCTATTGTTCTTATAGTATAGATAGAGAATTATGATAATGGAGTTGATAACTATAATGAAATCACAAACGATTTGTTTATGAAAGGACATATAAGGTCATGCTTTTTCGAAAAAGGGAGTAATATGATAGAACAGATGGCTCTTTTTTGTTTATTGGCTTATACTATATACATAGTATAATATAACAGCCCTTTTGGACCTTCCTTTTACAGCTTAGAGTCTTAGCTTTATAACTCTAGATCTAGGCATCTTATGCCTAGGACTCTTTCACCCTTTTTGGCCTAGCTCTTATGGCTCCCAATATCTGTATATATAGTCCTCCTTTTAGCATGCTAGCTCTTCACTTGTAGATTCTAAGTACACAATCGGAGTCCTGTTTATACCCTTTTGGTCACAATTATATAATGTTTATTATATAATGATTATTATATAATGTTTCTAAAACAAAAAACTATTAATTTAATATATATTACAAGTATTATACTGAAATCCTTCAAATAATTCAATTTATATATAATCTATATTTGATATATATCAAGAAAAGAGATAAGACTTTCGATATAATAGAATTATAAACAAATAATACATTTATTATTATAAATAAGATATTCATTGAACGAGAATAAAAACAACTCAAAAAGACTAAAATTTCTTACCAAGAAATATAAGATTCTAATAACAGATATATCTTTCAAATTTAATAATAATATTTATTTTAATTAAAAAAGAACAATATCAAAATATATACTTTATAATATCTAAGTTATCAGATATATTTGGAATTAGAAAAAAGATATAAAAGAATATAATAGCTAAGAATCAATATATTACTTAACAAATCTATAAAACTTATATTACTACAATATATCAATCAAAGATATTTTTCGTTTTTTCGTTTATTACCTAGATTATTGATCTAAAGGATAAAAATATAAAGCTATTTAATAATTATATTTAATAGCAAATCAATAATTCTATAAAAAAACTCAAATTTGTATTACTTGATATCGATTCCTTAAAGTTGATTATATTTACTAATATTTTATTTACAAATAATTATGATTTGTTATTACAAATCGGATATTTAATTATATTAATAAATAAATATAATAGAATTAATATTATTTATTGATTATTTGTTAAATATAAGAAAGTTATATAAAATGTTTTGGCTTCAAAATTCTATAAAATAATATTTGGATTCGATTC